AATATTTGTCCAGAATTGTGATGTGATCCCTATGAGACACAGAATACTGTTGTTGCCTTTACTTGATTTCAGGTGGGATTTTGTCATTGTTAAATTAGTTCAGAATGGCAACCCTCATTTCCAATTAAATATTTTCTTAAGATATTATTTGAGCCAGAAGGAACTATAGGAAGAACTTGGAAGCAGCCATTATGTGGCAATATGCTGTACAAAATCATCAGCGTAGTCACTTAATGTGTGCATTTCAGGAACATAAATCCCACAAATTATGCATTACAGCTGTATTTTGAGCTCCCATATGTTAATAAAGGCTGACTGATCCTGTGATGTATTACAATTGTCCTATTTAGCAGAGCTGCATAGCAATCACAAAAAGATTCTATGGGTTGGAAGGGATAAGGACAGCACCTGGACATAAATAACTGCATCCTTCTTGGGGTACCCTCTCTGCTGCTGTTGTGTGCTATTATAAAACAATGCAGCTGCATTCAAAACTTGCAAAAAAGTTTTGTTTGCATCTTTCTTGTCCCAAGGCTCCTTTTGCCATAGAATCTAAAGCACTGAACAGTCCCATGGTACACGTACTAATAATAGACAGAAAGTCTTGAGAACAGCTCCTACATACTCTGGTTTTCTGTTAAAATGTAGAAAAATAGAATTTATATTTGTAAAAAGCAAACGTATAACACACATCCAAATTGTCCAAGTAACTATTTAGTTCATACAGTGATGTCTACATATTAAGCTAGATGCCTCTTTAATATTTTAATATTTAACAGGCATCATTTATTCAGGTTAATTCAGAAATTACTTCCTTCTCTGAAACTACTCGATCACTTGGGGGTAATTAGGATACTTTATTATATATAGTTTAATTTTTAACTGTTACTGTACAAATGTTTCATTGGGCACAGTGGAAGAGAATTTCCCCTAAAGCATAGTGTGAAGGATGTTTAAAAAATTGTTCCTGAATGCTGAGGCTTACCTGTAAGATTTGGGAAGAGCATGCTATTTGTTTTTAAACATTAATTAAACATTACGTGTTTTATTTTTTCTGGGAATATTAAAAGGTTCAATAAATATGTTCCATGTGGTGAACCTTTTAAGATGAAAAAAGGTTGAAAATTAGCCTGCTAGCCTGCTAATTAGTGAATAGTAGCTTCCTGCCCTTTCTTATTAGCCTTTGCTGTGGTCCTCTGCACCTTAACTCTGAAAAATAATTTGTTTGTTTGCTTTGAGTCTGTAAATCTTAGACCCCTGGTCCAAAATGGAGCTGCTTAATCTAGGCAACCAAGGACATAGTCACAAAGCCCTTATAAGCAGAAGAACACAGATACTGATGTCCCCTAAATTTCACTGAAGATGTTACCTAACCTGGTAATGAAACATCCAGAAACCAATGCACAAGCTTGGAGAACAAACCTCCATCCTCATCCTACACCCGAGCTGCAGATATTCGCCACTGTCACAAACATAGTCACTTTCCATCCATTCTGGGATATAAAAGAAAGTTAACTTTTGCAGGTATCTAGCCAAATAATACCTGCATCACAGGAATGAAGAGATGAAAATAATGATGGAGAGAGAGAGAGAGAGAGACTGCAATACCTATAATATGTAATGTATTTGGTTTTAGATTAATTTAGTTTTTATAGTGATTTACATATCTATGTATGCCTGTTCATGTTTGCTCTGATTTAAATTTATCCTGTAAATTATTAGCAGAGTCTGAGCTTCAAAAGATCTTCTAGGATTACTTAATGATGAGCACAACTTACTCTGGTGTCATTCTGGATTCTTTGTTGCAATATGGATTAACATGTCTCCGTTGAAAAATATATTCGTTTGTTCAGTTATTTATATAGGCATAATTTGTTTAGGTATTTCATTTCCTTTTTGTTGTATACACAGGCGGAAGGAGGCTGTACAAACTAATTTTAAGCCTCTTTTGAAAAAAACATCTGAATTTTTTAATCCAGTTGCATTTTTATAAAGAACAAATGGAAGCTGGTTTGTTTTCCCACTGATTAGCAGAATCATATGTCAATGATTTTTTTTTCCTCTTCCATGAAAGTATTTAGAAATATGTTGTCAATGAACTAATCTTCTTGCAATTAAAAGTAGGTTTCCTTTCTGGGAACATTAGACCAACCTTTGAAATAAAAACAGTGCTGATTATGACAAACATTTTTCAGACTTCTAATGATGAAAAATTGGATTCTGTGGGTTTCATTTCTTTGTAATATTAGATGGTTAGTTTGGAACCTTTTTATTGAATATTAATACTTAATTGCATGTACACATTTTGTTTTAAATAAGAATTAAATTAAAAATGGTAAATTAGCAGTGCTTAGTCATGTAAATAATATTTGCAATCAGGAATATAACCTAGTTTATGCAGCTGTCTATTCTGTGGTACATATTAAATGCAGCTCCTGTTTATATCCCGTTGCCAGATAAAATAGGAAGCTGAAAGAAGTTGCTTACACTGTAATTTAGGAAGTGTGATAGGTTCACTATTAAAGAATAATAATAACAAAAAACTATCCTTATATACAGCCAAGATACTGTAATGGATTTTGGCCTGGACAAATGTACCACCTTTACCTTCAACAAGAAAAACTGAAGGAATCTCTATAGAAATAAAATAGTTGAAGATGATCAGTACAAATTTCTAGGTGTCCTTCAAGCTGACCACATAAAGCACATTGAAGCCAAGAAGAAGGCCAGACGTGGATACATCATGGGAGTGAAAATCTTAAAGTCCTAACTCAATAGAAGACATACCATCAAAGCAATTAACATCTAGACAATTCCAGTCATTAGATACACTGCTGAAATACTGAACTCAAGCAGCACAAAAGGCCCTGGATAGGAAGACCAGAAAAATAATGTAAATGAATCATGATCTTCATCCATGCAATGATGTTGACCAACTCTACTTACTAGGGAAAATAAGTGCATGTGGAATGTTGCAAGTACACCAGACAGTTGAAGAAGGAAAAAAGGCATTGGAAGAATATATGAATATGAATATATAAATATATGAAGGACAGTGAAGAAGACGCACTGAAGGCTTTCAGAGTATTTGAGAGACCAAACTGGCCTACAAGAAAGACCGAATGAAGAAAAGAGACATGGCAAGGCCTGAGAGGGACAATCGCAGATCCCAAACTACCAAAGGCAAAAGGGAGGCGACGGGCTTAAGTAAATATCGGAGCTGCAGCCGCAGCTCCAAAGAACGGTTGGATATGTGGAATTCCCGAGGGAGATCCTGGGCGGGTCGCAACAAAAGACCTCCCCCCACCTGCTCTCGTAACGAGGCACCGGAGCTGCAGCCGCAACCTCTGGTAAAAAGGAGGCCGAGCTGGAATCAGTTGGGGACTAACAGCCATTAGTCCATAGATGAATTAAACAATTTAGGGACTTTGGGGAAGGTCTATTTGTCAGGGTGGGGAGAAGAGGAAAAAGGAAGGAGCCCCTTCCTTGGACACTCAGTTTCTGTCCCCCCCCCCCAAAATCAGGAATTTTTTGAATTGGGAAATTTAGAGTGTTCCTGAATGGAGATCAAATTGTTAATAGGAAGCCAAATTCTGTGCTGAATACAGCACAGCTCAACAACTGGGGAACTGGAAAATCTACCAATGGAGACTACCTGCCTAAGAGCCAAACTTGCACGTCTGTCCTGGGTGAGATCAAGTCAAGACTGGGATCTCTATGGTCCAGGAAGGGAGTGGCAACTTTGGCTGACTTGATCTTATTGGGCAAGAATACAGTCTAAACCCATTGGTGGATTCTCCATCTTCAGTGTTGGAGAATGTAAATACTCCTTTGAATAAAATTTGACTCTGATGATTACATGAATGTGTAATTTTCCTAGCAGTGTACAGAGGTGAACAGTCACTTTATCTCCTTCTGGTACATTTCTCCCCCCCCCCTTTTAATTTCCTAGACTTTCCTAGATCCATGGTGCTTTCCCATCCAATCACTAATTAGCTCTGACCCTTTTGGGGATTGTGTAAGGTCATGTAAATGCTGCCACTTGCTATAACATAGGAGATTTTAAAAAGTTCACATCAGCCTTCCTTGAAATTGTACTTAAGTTATTCTGTTTTTGCCACACAATACTTATACTCACTCTTAAGTATCAATAAACATTTTCAAGAGCCCATTTTAATGCCTTGCTATCAGCAGTACTGGATGGCAGATTTAATGAACGTCCAATGCCCATGTGTGATAGATGAAAATAAACCTACAGAACATAATTCTTTTGCAGGTGGATTTTGGTTTAATCAAAGACTTGGTCTGCTTTGGCCTTTAATTAATTTTTTTCCAAACCATTATGTTGGTTTTCACCAAAACCACCATAGTAAATAAAAACTCTTAAGACTAACTATGCAGTCACAACATTTTGCATCCTGACATTAAGTCATTGTTCTGGCATAAAATCAAGTGCTTATCATATAGGCAAGACAAGAAGCAATGGATGGAAAGTAACCAAAGAGAGAAGCAACCTAGAACGAAGGAGAAATTTCCTGGCAGTTAGAAAAATTAATCAGTTGCCTCCAAAAGCTGTGAATACTCCAACACTGGAAGAGGCTATCTACAGCTTATTAGTATCTGTAATTGGAAAACAGAAAGATTGACAATCAGGCTACACAATATGACTAGAGGACTACATTTAAATTTGGTAAATCGCAAGTTGTATAGGCTTCATATAAAATGAAGTCACTTTCTAAATTGCCCAGTGAGGAGTGAGTAAATGGAGATTGGATCCAAGTACTGCTACACTAGATTTGTATTTTCCCCTACTCAAGCAGTAGGCGTGAACTAGAAAAATTCAATTTACAGATGCAGAGGGGGAGTGATTAAAAGTTGTATCTCATCCTTGTTGTATGAGGTATCTTGCAAGTGTGATTACAGGATGTATCCTACACACTCTTTCTGAAAAACAACTCTGTGGGTGCTTCTCAACACAAAGGGTTGCTGCCATAGTAACAGGGTGTTACTTAGCAAGCTTCCACTTTGCTTGGCCAAAGGGGAGAGTTTTGAATATAGAAAGGAGGCACAGTCAATGCTGCAAGAATATGAATGGCTGCTTGTAGTAGCAGAAGACTGGTAGGCTTGAAGAAGTCTGCATCTTGAAGTGATTTGAAAATGTCCTTCTATTAGCCAGCCAAAGTAGTTACAGCTACGACAGGGGAACAGAAAACTAAGAAAGAAAGAAATTCTGGATAGCCACGATGTATGAAGATCGGAAAAACTGAAAAAGAATCAGTAAAGCTTGAAGGGCAGTTAAGAGGACAGTGTGGAAAGATAAGACATGTCCTTAGTCTGATAATGATGTTGACTTTTGGGTTAAATTCCACAATGTCAAAATAAAAAAAGATGCAACTCCACCAGAACCTTTCTTAATGTAGGCAGGCTTCTTGGGTAGGTTAAGTATATTAGCAAAGAGGTAGTGAGGATTGTTGACCTTTGCTGCCAAAAGTGTTATATTATAACTGGACTCGATTTGTCTTCCTTTCAAGCAATTTTATATGACTGCGCTTTCATACTTAAGCAAGGTAAGTGCATATTAAGTTCTGTGCAACTTCTTTATTTTTCTATTATGGAAAATTCTTATGGATTTTTTGCAAACAATTCTGATGATTTGTTGTTGTTGTTCATAAAGAAGCAAAAAAGTTGCTTCGTCACCACTGCTTGATTGCCCATACTTACCAAATAGCAATGTTATTCTCAGTGTACAGTATGTAAAGCCTCACTTTGATCACACTGGCTACTGAAGCAAGATTGGAGCTGAAGTATTAAGAAATAAAATTCTGACTTTGAACAGTCTTCTATCTCCTTTGCTGTAGAATTTGAATATTGTTGGCCTTAATGATGGGATGAGAAAATGAAAACTGGGAGTTTTCAGAAAGGTGAATTCTTGGAACCACGAACATTATGCATGTATTTTATTCTTTGTAAATCCAAGCAAAAATTATTTGCTTCCTTGAAATAGGTTTTGGGGCTGGTTGTGCATTTTTATTCTTGTGATCTCTAGCATATAATTTGTTAGAGAAAAGCTTTGTTCTTTTGTTGGTGGTTTTTAATTTGGCTGAAAGAAACAAAATAGTTTTGTGTGACCCCCAAAGAAACAAAAAGAAACATTGTTATGTGCAAGCTAATGATTGAACTGCACGGGGGACAAAGGTTAAAACTTTATTTTCACCTGCTTTTCCATAATCCTCAAGGTTCACTGTTTTTGTCAAAGATAAAAGGGACACTATCAAATCATTACACCAGCCATATAAAATTTAATTTAGACCCACTCCCAATAGGCATTTGTTCATCTATACCATTTTTGCTACCCAGGAAAGTGTTACCTAGGTATATCTCTGTAGTTAAAGAACCTAGTGTGCTGGTTGAAGAACAGAATAGAGAGTTTTTAGATCTAATCCCTGACAAACTGCAGAATGACAGGCAAACCCTTGGATGCATGCTTTTAAAGATCAGTAGGGTGAAAGACATGGGGGATGCATTTATTTCTTTGCTAAGGAGATTTTTCATGACAGCTACTTCATTAGTAATATTTGCCATTTGACACCTTTGAATTGTGTGTAGTAAAAATGCTCTGAACTAAGTGTTCCTTGTTAATATTTCTCAGATGGGTCTAGGACAACTTGGTGTGGCCAGCTTGCCACCACCAAGTCCCCTCTGCCCACTCACCACCGCCAAGTGGCTACAAGATGACTCAACATAACCAATTCGCCACCGGGACAACTTGCCACAGGAGAGCCAGGTGGGCAGGCAAGAGTACAAAACAGTGGTTGTGGCAGTGGCCAGGGGCTTCCTGTTTTCACATCCCCCTCTACTGCTGCTCCGCTGCTGGCCTTCCAAGTTCTGGGCTGTTCAGAGTTTGGGCTGTTGGATGACAGTGGCGGTGTTCAGGCCATTCGGCGGTGGGCAGGGAGGTGGCGGTGGCTGATGCGCCCCATTTTCACATTCCCTGCCTCTGCTGCCAGATGTGAAAATGTGACACTCCCAGCTGCTGTTGCCTACCTGCTGCCGCCAGATGGCCTGAACTCTGCATGGCCCGGAGCTCAGCGTGGCAGTGATGGCGATGGGGGATGTGAAAATGGGAAGCTCCCACATTCTGCCCACCCACCCACTCACCTGCCTGCCTGCCCGGTTCTCCCTCCAGCCACCTATAGTGTGTTGTCCCTGCAATGAATTGACTGTGGTAAATTGTCCTGCAACGACACCACAGTTGTGAGTTGGCAGAGGTGACGTGTGGTGGGCTGGTAGCAGTGAGCTGGCTGCACCAACTTGCCTCGTTCTATCCTCAGATATGGGAGATTCCTGTTCCCCGTCAAAGATCTTGATTCATATCATATTTTGGGATTTGGTTGGGGAAAGATCTATCGTGTTCCATTCTGAGATAAGAGCTTTTGGTTGTGCCACAAGGCAGGGCCTTCCTTCTCTGGGCGAGTGCCCGAAATTGCCCTCCAGCAAGAAACTTTATTGATATCGTACTGCCTCATCCATCAGGCATATTTATATATGTTTAGTGGCCATTTTTAGAAATGCAATGAGATCTCTTCTTTATATTGTAGTCCCTCTGCTGGTGTATTGTTATATAGGTGTGCTTTGCTAATGCTTGATTGACATGTCTTTACATTGTAGTTACTAGTCTGAGGTTTAAATAAAAAAATATGAAGGTAAATTACAAGTGAAAAGTTACATTGAACCCCTATTTGAAAATATTCAAAATAATGCATACAGAAGAAAAGTGAATATGAGCCCACTTCCACTAGGTGGTTGAGTAGTTTTTATTGTAAATATAAATAGTGGAACTCAGATGGGAACATGTATAGCCAACTAAATTTCTCTCTTTCTCTCTCTCGATCTTCATGGAACATTTTGGAATAACTACAGCTTGGTTTCATGTTGATTATGAACAATTATTTCTAAAGCCATTTAAACAAAAAAGATACCATGTGAGATTTGATCACTCTCTATAAATGCAATTCACTCAAAAAGTGACCCACATTCCTTAAGAATTAAATCAAAAGGGTAAGAATTAGAGTAAGTTCTTGAAGAATAACCAAGGGATTTTATTTAAAATCATTTGTCCAGTAGTACGGAAAGAAAGGGAGGGGAGAGGAAGTGGTACTGCACTCTGTAATTAAAGTATAAGCAAAGAAAAAGCATCTCCTCCTTCCCCCACAACATTTGGTAGAATTTAACTTGTAAAGAAATGAAGGAAACTGAGAAACTGGAATAAATAATGATTGATTGATGTGATGGCTGTAACTGGAGCTTCTGAGACAGGACAACTACAGGTAGTCCTCAACTTATGACCATAATCCAGCCAAAAAATTGTGTTGCTAAGCGAGACATTTGTTAAGTGAGTCTTGCCCCATTTTACAACCTTTCTTGCCACCGTTATTAAGCGAATCACTGCAGTTGATAAGTTAGTAACCCGGTTGTTGAGTGAATCTGGCTTCCTCACTGACTTTGCTTGTCAGAAGGTTGCAAAAGGGGATCACATGACCCTGGGACACACAATGGTCATACATATGAACCAATTGCCAAGCTTCTGAATTTTAATCACATGATCATGGGGATGCTGCCAAGGTCGTAACTGTGAAAAACAATCATAAGTCACTTTTTTCAATGCTGGTGCAAGTTTGATCACTAAATGAACTATTGTAAGTCGAGGACTACCTGTACTGCTGTTAGAGCTCCTTTCTGCTTCTTAATTTCTTTATGATAGCCATCAAAGGTTAGGTTTACCAAATTTACCATTCATTTTTGAAATATTCAGTTGTATCATAACTGGCACCATATGGTTCAGCCCAGAAAGATGATTTTATCTATACTTTGGTGATTACCTAGCTTTTTAATTTTCACTTATGTATAGAGGAACAGTACGTTTGTTGTAGTATGTTTGGAGAGAAGCCATACTTGTCCTATGCTTGTTACCGTATCAGCATAAATAGCATTTATTTCTCTGATGCTACCTCATTAATTTATTTATATGTCATCTTTATGACTCACTGCTCCCAGTGTGTGTCAGCCATTAATTATTATAAGTAAAAATTCTAATTGATGAAATCCAACTATAATAAGAAAACTAAAACTTTAAAGTACAATATAAATTCTATAAATGAGAGCAGTGCCCCTATATACAATGCATTACATGATTTCTCAATTGAAAACAAATATTAGGAAAGGGAGGCTTGAGTGTTGAAATGAGAGGGAGGACTTCGTACATATGGTGCATCCCGCAGAAAGCTCTTGCCTAGGGGTCTTCAAACTTGGCCCTTTTATGACTTGTGGACTTCAAGGAAGGCTGAGGAATTCTGGAAGTTGAAGTCCACAAGTCATAAAAGGGCAAAGTTTGAAGATCCCTGCTCTTGCTCTAGTCAGTTCCAACAGGTTATCTTTCCAGGTCAGCACTTGCAATAAATCTTTGGAGCTCCAGGTTTGTAACATATGTAAAGAAGCTGCTCCTTCAAACAGATAGGCTAATATCCCCAAGTTATTTAAGGATTCATCTTGGGCTTCAACTGGCAGAAAGGAACCCAAAAGGCAAGTTTAACAGAAGTCATGAACTGTTGATAAGTAGTATTGAAAACTATGCAAATGCAGCAGTAGGAAAGTGGAGCCTAGCATGTAGGAAGGTGGAGCGTAGCATGATGGAAAGAATACAATGCTGAAGTTGACAAACATCTGGGAGATTCAATCCGCCCCATCAGCAGATTAGGACCTAAATTTGATAGGTTCTTCTTGACGGCCATAAAGACAATGCCAGGATCAGTAGTACTCATTACAATATGTTCATGGTTTGATATGCCTTGTTAATTTTTTTTCTCTTTCTCTATTCAACTCAAAAGAAGCACAGCAGCAGAAAATTCAATCCATTTTATATTCAACAAGAATGTATACACCGTGTTTCCTAATCTAAAGATTTTAAAAATAAGGACATCACAGAAATGTATAATAAAGAATTTCACCAAATTACTTGACAACCTTTGTTTTTTCTTTTTTTCAAGGAATCATTTCAAAAACTGAAAATGAACATTTTTAACTATCCTCTGTTCAAAGTTATGTAGTTATTCTCACACTGAAGTCCTCCATACTTGGTATGCAGTCTAGGAAAACTGTCATATCTTGTCACTATATTGCAGTATTTTTACCAGGAATTAATGTTCAAAATGAAAAGCATCACATTACATAGACCAGTGGTTCTCAACCTTTTTAATGCCGCGATCCCCAACCAATTGTAAGTCAAGGACTACTCAACTGGTGCAGCACCGTTTGCAGAATGGGACTTTTGGCGGGCTGAGCAGGGCAGAGACAACCTGGACAATTCCTATTGGCTTTTGAAAGAATAAAAGGGAGTAGCACAGCTAAGGAAAAGGGGGAAAAATGGCGGACTGCATTGTTTGGCGACCCCCATGAAATGGTCGTTCGACCCCAAAATGGGGTCCTGACCCACAGGTTGAGAACCACTGACATAGACTATGGCATCTAGAAATGAATTTGTTTTAGCAGCATCTTCTCTTAGTAAAAGTTTGTTGTCACAGGATAGGAGTTACCACACATAGACAATAATCTAGTATATACATTATTTTAGTCAGAAAGGCTGGCAATTATACGCTAAGTATTGGAAGAAAAAGAGATGGTGATTGTTGAAGAATGAATTTACTCAACTGGCAGAGATAGTGAAATTAACAGCATTGATTAGAGCAGATATCCCCAGCCTGTGAGCCGCAGCCCACTACCGGGCCGTGACCTATTCCCAACCAGGCTGCATGAGTGGTGGGTTGGTGCGCATATGCGTGCAGCCCCACTCACGTGAATGGTGGACACCCACCAACCTGCCATTCACACAAATGAAACTATGCCCATGCGCACTTGCCCCTCGCTCAAAACCATTCCCTTCCCTCTCCCGTGCCAGGTTGCCAACCCAGAAAAATTGGGGAACGCTGGATTAGAGACAGTGGATTAGAAAATTTATAAGAGTTTGGAAGCTGTGGAGTTTCTGCTCATTAAATACAATAATCAGTGGTTAAACAGAGGGCTTCAAGGATTAGTTTTATTCTTGGGGTCACCTGTTGACTGTTTTCTTTTTTTATATATAGTGAACAGATGATGGGTCGACAGATTGTTAAATAAATAGATTTCCACATAGGTGACTTTTTTTATGAAACAGTATTTTTATTAAATATAAATGGGAAAGTTTCTAATTATTTGCAGACCTATTATATAAGGGGGGAGAATGTACCAGATACATCAGATATATTTTTCAGCATTCAACCAGGGAGGACAACTTATACTTAACCTTAGTGCTAATAAATATATTTGTCATTTGTTATATTTTGTACACATGGTTTTTATTTTTATTGTCAGCATTTGATGTTCGTTTGTTTATTTTTTTCTTCCTTTTTTTCCCAATTTTGTATTTTAACTTTGGAGATAGATAGATAGATAGATAGATAGATAGATAGATAGATAGATAGATAGATAGATAGATAGATAGATAGAGACTGACCGTTGAGTGGCAAAGGTCCTATTTCTTTCTTTCCTTGGAAATACTGTGAAGCAGAATATATTCTGGAAATCACTGACTGGCCTGCTGCAATGTGCTTTACATAACACAGAAAATACAATTGTTTCAAATGGCAGAAGCCCACATGCTAATATGTCAGGACCACTTCAACCTCGTGATCCTTACTCTGGCCACTGCATTAACTCCCAGGGATTTCTTACTTCTCTGGTTTGTCCAGGACACTTCCTCAGGGTAGAATTAACCCATCCTGTGTGCACATTTTTGTTAGAGATGCTTGTTATATGAGAAATGAGAACTGTGGGAACCTTTAGACCAGGGGTGTCAAACTGCCGGCCTGTGGGCCGGTTGCATCATGCAGAGGCCACGTCCACCCCTGCTCCGGCAATGCGAGAAAAGTTATGATACGTCACGACACGTCATGTGACGTGGCAAGTTTGACACCCGTGCTTTAGACAATATTTTTCCATTGCTTTTTGGGCTGCCAAGATAGGACTATTCCACCGGGCTTTTGAAGTAAAGTACTGTATTGCCATGATTGATTATACTGGTGCATGGTATTTTACTGGCGCATGTGATTTTACTTCATTGCTTTTATTGATTGGCAATTGTAATAATATATCTGTTTTATAATTATGCATATTATAAATCGTTACAATTTGCCCCAAATTTGGTAGTATAAATGTGGAAGGAAGGAAGGAAGGAAGGAAGGAAGGAAGGAAGGAAGGAAGGAAGGAAGGAAGGAAGGAAGGAAGGAAGGAAGGAAGGAAGGCTCAATGGCTTCAAACCTCATTAGAAGTGTTTGAAAGGACCAATAATATCAGAATAGAAAGTTGCAGCCCTATTTTGAAAGTTCCTGGAGAAAATCTACAGGTATGTGATCACTAAGACTGAACACCATCAATCCATTTTAAAAGTAATGTTTAGGTCAGCCCCTTGGTTTCTTTTTAATTAATTTAAGCCTGAGAACATTTTAACAATTGCACTGTGATTTTTTGTGCTGAGATTGTAAGTTGAATTTTGGCCTTCAACCTAATGGAGTAGTTCTTTCTCTGGTCTGCAATTCTTAGACCTTGTCAACTTAATTTCATTATTTCTTCTCTGGATTCTGCAGAGGTGGTCATTTCAGTCTTTGAAAAGATGCAAGTACAAGAGATTCTAAGGAATTTACGCCTTCCAGAATTTGAAGACTTCAGCCAGTTTTTCCGAAGCCTACCAGCTTCTACTTTGGTGGGAATTGGTGCTTTTGCAGCTATCATTGCATATTGGCTTGTCAACCGTCCCAAAGCGGTAAAACCACCATGTGATCTTTTAATGCAATCAGAAGAAATTGAGGTGAGGATTATCTTGATAGAATTTTATGGCATGCCTTTCTCAGCAGTGTTTTTATTAGCAGTTGCTGTTCCTTTTATTAAATTGATCTTTTGGCAAAATCCATAAGTAGATTTGTAAATATTCTAGCCTGTCCATCTAATAATTAGTACAATGGCTGACCCAGAGAGACTTTCCTGGACCTTAGTTGTGAGAGACATGCTATTCTACAAAATGTGAATTCATATTTAGGTACATGAAAAGAGTCTGCAAGTGATTCATAGTATGCATTTTATAGGATGTATTCTTTGTGTGATGATGTATTAGTCTTTTTAATAGATGACTTGATTCTTAGTCAAATATTGTCTTAGCCAAGATTTTCAAGAGGAAAAACTTGAGGTTAGCTCTGTGGAAGTGTATGAATTAAGGCAGAATGGTTATGTCCTTTATTATTTGCTTATTAAAAGAAATCATATTAGTGAATATGCTAAGCCAAATAATACTTCAGCATTGAATTAGTTTGGTGTTGGTTAATAAACAGGTTAATTATGGCAGAATGTACTGAAGTGAAATCTGATTCAGGAAAAGAATATCTTAAAGATATTCTTTGAAAAATGATATTTTACTGGGTACGTTTCCTGAATAACATGGATGATGTAATCAATTCTCTTAAGGTTTTTTTTTGTTTGTTTATTTGTTTGAAATATGTTGTGTAATCCTTGGAGATATATTTGTAAAAGCACAGACAAAACAAAATAATTAAGCTATTGAGATTTCTTTTATAGTGTCTATGAATCTTCATTATTGCCTTATTTAAACTGTATTTCATTTCCTATGGAGATGATACACGTACATTATTTGATTGTGCTTGGGACAGTTAACATGGTTATTCAAAAATGTTATTTTGAGATGTTCCAAGCCCATGTTTGAGCATGACATCTTAGATGTTTGAAGTAATTATGGTTTGTGGACCTATTGCTGAATTAATTGAGTTGTTTAATCCAGGATATATCTGGCATTTTTCTTGAGGAAAAATATTAAGCATTCAGTAAGCTGGAGATGGTTCAACTAGAAAGGACAATTCAGCAAAAAAGAACCAAACCATACTGTATATAGAAGATTTAAAACAATAACAACCAATTTAATACTATATCATTTTTCATCTCAGCAATCAAATTAATATTTATTTGCTTTCTATCTTTCCTCCAGGAATTCATGGCAGCTTAACTTAAATTCCTGGAGCTTATTATATCTCCCCTCATTTTATTCCTACACTGAGAGATTGGCTGGGCAGAGAGTAACTGGCTACATTCACCTAGAGAGCTTTGTGTTTGAGTGGCAGTTTGAACCCAGGTTTTTCTGTCCTCAGTTCTTAACTATGGCATTGCACTATAGAACATATATTTTTATATTTTAATTATAAATTATGAAGGCATCTTCTTTATTTAGTACCACTAGTAGTGACGTGCAAAATATTTCAAATTTGAATGGTTTAAATTTGAAATGGCCCAAATTCAGTGATTTTGAAGGAATTATTTTGAGTTCTAACTGTTCATTTGCATTCAAGGTGGCCTCTGGTAGTGTTTTAAGATTGACATTGTTTTCAACACAAATCAACTGATTCAAATTCAAAAAAGGCATTTCCAGTTTGAAAAGCTTCAAATTTTGTACACTCCTTAATAGTCATATAAATTGTTGGCCTTTTTGAAAATAAAATGCTGGACCATAGAGGTTTTGTCTAGAACAGGGGTGTCAAACTGTCAGCCCGCAGGCCAGATGCATCACAACGAAACCGCGCCCACCCCATTGCCGGCAATGGAGAAAAAGGTCCAATATATCGTGCAATGTCATGTGACGTTGCGAGTTTGATATGTCTGGTCTAGAACATGGATAATCTACATCTTTTCTGGATATTTTCTCCTTCTAGAGTTGTATTTGAATTTGTTTTAAGTTTTATGTTTCAAATTATTTGATACTGGATTTATTCACTTCCCGGTATAGTTTATAACTGTAGCTGATTCTTGCAGAATATTCTACAATTTTTAAAAGAAAAGTATCTGAAGGAATAACATTCATTTTTAGAAGCTCTATTCAACTTCTGGATGCTCCACTGAAATTCTTTTGCATGTCTTCTTCTTATTATTATTATTATTGCATGTTCAATATTTGCAACCATATTCTATTTATTAAGTCATATCTGAATTTAAGTTTCTTAATAGTATTTGAATTCCACCTTATGAAAATTTGAGTTGTTCTGGAGATACCCCTCAGTTATTGATAGATTCAGGAATTCCTTGGCTGAATAGTTACTTTTCTGTGACTCTCCATCCCACAATGCTTATTCTTTAAGCCCAGGCTGTAGACATGGAGTGTTCAAGGATGGATTATTTTGAGAGAAAGAATCTTTTGGGCATCAAAACGGAGATTGGTCTATGCTTCAACCTGGTTACTTTTTCCCCTCCTGAGCTACATAATCTCTGTATGTAAAACTGAATATTTAAACAGAATAGTTTTTTAGTTATTTATTCTATTATTATGGATAAATGTAATGGCTTCCATATTTTATAAATTAAAGATAAGCCTACAGTGTCAACCAACATTTTGGGGGGACTATTTCCCTGGTGTATATGTTTGTAAATACATATATTCCAATTCATACATATGTGCCCATGCAGAGATGGATGGAGAATTCACTTTATCTTTGTACTTTGGTGGCTTGCCTGAGGCAAAGTAAGGAAAAATATTTACAGATCTGCTTGACATAAACATTTTAACAGTTATTCCCAGCAGTTAAAACAAAGGAATTGTGCACATATTCTAATACCGAACCTAATAATTAATAAAATACTATTGATGTGTTTCGTCACTCAAATTTTACAGAATAATACTGTACTGCGAAATACAAAGCATTGTACTTTGAGTTGCTTGCAACCTACATTTTGACACCAAGAGAGACATTTAAGAGGCGGGAAATTCAGAATTACTAATGGTGAATCTGAGCAACCTTGTATGTAGATTTTAGTTTGTCTGGGGACTGAAAAACGTTAAGCAAAGTTCTGTTATTTCACAATGCAATTTTAATGGCTTCTGTAAACTTCCAGAAACCTGGAATCAGGATCTAGCTATAGATACAATGCACCTGTATATACACAGATAGTCCTCGACTTATGACCACAATTGAGCCCAAAATTTATGTTGCTAAGTGAGAAATTTGTTAAAAGGTTTTGCCCTATTTTACAACTATTCTTGCCACATTTGTTAAGTGAATCACTGCAGTTCTTATGTTAGTAACGTCATTGTTAAGTGAATCTGGCTTCCCCATTGACTTTGCTTGTCATTAAGTTGCAAAAGGGGATCACATGACCTCAGGATAGTGCAACCATTATAAATATGAACCAGTTCTCAGGTATCCGAATGTAAATGCCATGGCCATGGGCAGGGGTAGGCAACCTTGGCTTTTTTATGACTCGTGGACTTCAACTCCCAGAATTCCTGAGCCAGCCATGATGGCTCAGGAATTCTGGGAGTTGAAGTCCACGAGTCATAAAAGAGCCAAGGTTGCCTACCCCTGCCCATGGGGGTGCTGCAATGGCCGTAAGTCACCTTTTTCAGTGATGTTGTAACTCTGAACGGTCACTAAATGAACTGCTGTAAATCAAGGACTACCTGTATTGTTTCCCCTTTATAGATTCTTGACCTGCACTTACCTATATTTCATTGTAGGGCTGGAATGGTGCACGGAGATCTGTAATTGGTGACAGGACACATTTGCTAACTCATTACTATGATGATGCAAGGACCATGTATGAAGTTTTTAGAAGGGGTTTTAATATATCTGGTAAGTTTTTGAAAGACATTCTTTGATCATACTGAATTTATTTTAAGCAATAATATTGTTACAGCTCTATATGAAACTCCAACTTCTACAGAGGACAGATGTAGGTACTTAGATGAAGAAACTGTATTTAGATGATAATTCATTCTTGGGGGCAGTTAAACTTTGTTGTTGAGTGTGCTTGAACTTACTATGGAGACAGTTACAGGGGCTAATCTTAGTTTAGAAGGACTAATAGTTACCTTCAATAAACATGAGATTTTACTGCTCTAATAACATAAATATTGAGTACACATTTTTAATCACAATTAGGAAACAAGTCATTCTTATTTTTTTCAGTCCCCATAAATTGTAGGGTCACAAAAATTCTCTTAGAATCTTTCATAATTGAGTGGTTATTTTACCTTATTTACAGAATTTTTAATCTACTGTTGGGGTAATTTATGATCAGATAGAAAGCCCACAATAGAGGGAAATATTGATTATTTATTCTGGGCTACTATAATACTAAAAATTGATGATTACGAACAGCTTACGTACCCATCATCTGTTAATCAAATTAACAATTAACAATTACACCTTAACACTTGTAGGAGGAGAGCTGTGTGACTCCATGGGATCTGATAGCATGTTTTCCAACTAATTTCATATGTCTGAATAATGAGATGTCACTGACAAAAGTTTGTGCCTTTTAATAAACTTTATTACTAGTAAAAGTCCTTACCACTCCTTCTGACATAAAGCAGTTTCACCATGGCTTTTGTGAATATTGCTGATGTTATAGGACACACCAAACCAATGGGATATTTGGAATGGAAGCCAATTTTGATTAACTCACTGTAGTATTATAGAGAAAAGATAAATGTTAAGAGAGCATGTGTGCTTCATGTCACGTCAGAGTCTTATATCAAAAATAAAATTGTCATTGCTGGAATTATTTAAAAAAAATGAAATTCCATTTATCAAGATAACTGTCTTTTGTGTTTCATGATCCTTGATATAAATTCTTGAATGGCTGACATGGCACATTGTCAATAATAGCACTGGTTTATTTTTAAATATGCTATCCTGCTGAGATATACGTAGGCCATCAGGAAATGCATTATTAAGCAGCTTTGAAAATGCCTTATCACACATACTATTCCTGATGTCGGGGTTTTTTTTCTGTAGAAAATGGTCCCTGCTTAGGATTTAGGAAACCTAATCAGCCTTATCAATGGTTATCCTATAAAGAGGTAAGTTTGATATTATTACTTTTTCTCTTAATTGAACAACAGTAAAAATGGAACTGTAATCTGAAATATTTTTTCTACTGCGCCCTGTTCTGGATAGCTAAGATAATTACCTGGTTAGAGATGATTATACTAACAGAATATTATAGGGTAGTGGTGGCAGGGCGGTTTTTGGGCACTTGTTCTCTAAATGGTTTGCCAACACTGTTATAGGGGCTGCTGATGTGCCTTCCCTACTCCCAAGATACCCCAAATCTACTGTATAGAATATGCAATAATCCTCCTCTATTGTTTAGTTTGTAAGAATCACCTTTTCAAGTGGACTATGCCTGCAGTAATGGCAAACAGGTAGTACTGTGTTTCTCTGAAAATAAGATCCAATCAGAAAATAAACCATAGCATGATTTTTTCAGGATGCTCATTAATATAAGCCTCACTCTAAAAATAAGCCCCAGTTAAGATCGTCAGCCAGATGGATGCATTTAGTACCGTATTTCTTCGAAAATAATACCTAACTGGAAAATAAGACCTAATGCGTCTTTTGGAGCAAAAATTAATATAAGACCTGGTCTTATTTTAGGGAAAACAGCACTGAAAAAAGGGATTTATAACAGTGTTTCACACAACCATTGCAACATCCCCATTGTCAGGTAATCAAAATTCAGATGGTTGGCAACTGACTCATATTTATGGCGGCTGCAGTGTCCTGGGGCCATGTGATCGTCTTTTGTGACCGTCTGACAAGCAAGGTTTATGGGGAAGACGGATTCACTTAACAACCTTGTTACTAAATTAACAACTGCAGTGATTCACTTAACAACGGTGGCAAAAAAGTCGTAAAATGGGGCAAAATTACTTAACAAATTCACTTAACAATAGAAATTTTGGGCTCTGTTGTGATTGTAAGTCGTGGAGTACCTGTACTGTTGTATAGTCCATTTCTGAATCACCTGGAAATGAAGTAACTGGAAATGAGTGGGGTGAAGGCTCTGTTAAACGATTAGTAAACCTGGAACCGCCTTGAGGTGAGACAACAACTAAATTAATTGGTAGTACAATTCTCAATTTTGAGGTAAGTTGAAAAATTGCTTGTGGAAATGTCTCACTGAATTCCACCTGGCATTTTAAAGTGCTTAATTTTCACTTTCAGGTTGCTGAAAGAGCAGAAGCATTGGGATCAGGCTTACTCCAAAAGGGATGCAAATCATCACCAAACCAATTTATTGGGGTCTTTGCACAAAACTGTCCAGAGGTGAGACTGCAAAAAATAGAATCTTATTTCCAGACTCTCATTATATTCACATTTCTTTCTATTTATATCTTTTATCATCTTCTTCCAGTGGATCATTTCTGAGCTGGCTTGCTATACCTATTCCATGGTTGTGGTTCCCCTGTATGATACATTAGGCCCCGGATCCATTCGTTATATTATTAATACAGGTAAAGAGAGGAGATTTGTTTGAGCAATTCTTCAAATACACTTTTTAGTATTTTAAGCAGGGGTCTGGTTGTTCAAAAGATGTATTTCAGTAGCAAAAGTCCCTTTAAAGTTGATTTTTCAATGAGACATTAGAAGAAGGATCAAGATCATACAGGAATAAAATTTAATTAATTGGATTTTTACAATTTGCCATTTTACTACATCTCTGCATTTAATATCTGCAGGATCACATGGACCACATGGATTCTAGAAAACCATGTAGCTTTCTTTCTCTGTTTCTTCACTTAAAAGGTCCTCATTCTAAAATCTAGAGATAATATTTTACTCAAAATATTTGGTTTTGAATCAAAATTGCTTATGTAATTAGAATTTTAGCAGAGAATCAAGGTTCAGCTATTAGATCTTAAAATTCAGATGAGATTTCCAATATGGGAATTAACTGTTTAAAATTTCTATATTTTGAGCCTTTTCTGCAACTTTTGAAGTTTACTTATCACTTGGAGAGGTCAGGTTAAGAAAGTCTAATTGACAATCTAGGGATAAATATCTTATGGTTTAAAATATAATTCCTGTAACCATTCACAAATTATATGATACCAGAAATACTTCCCATTTCTCTTCTGACTTTAAAATATAAAAATTATTTAAGCTATGAATTAGTATTTTGGAATGGAACAGTTTTGAACTGGTTTTAATTTAGTTTGAGTTTTGAAGCTTATTTTGATTACAGCTTAAAAATTCAGGTTAGTCAATTCCTTAGTCTAAGTCCCTTCTAAATTTTACTATTTTAAAACTAGAATAATCCAGACAAGAGGGAGAACTAGGGCTGGAAAATTGGGAAGATATTGATTCAGAATAAAAAATTCTGTACCTCTGTATACACAATGGAAATAAGAATACATTTGCAGTGTTTGGCTATTAGAGGGTTGGAATTTTCAGGAATCGATACATATTCTTCTTTGAATAAATGTCATAATTTAGATGGCTTGTGATTTGTAAATAAAAATGCAATGATATTTCAGTATAATTATCTGTATCATTTGATTTATTTTATTAGCTGATATTTCTATAGTAGTTTGTGATAAACCTGAAAAAGCCAGAGTCCTGCTAGAACATGTAGAGAAAAAACAAACACCAGGCTTGAAATCAATTATCTTGATGGACCCCTTTGAAAAGGATCTTAAAGAAAGAGGACAAAGATGTGGAGTCCAAATCCAGGCAATGTTGGAAGTAGAGGTGCGGTTCTTTTCCAGTGCTTTATTTGATCTTACATTGTACTTTTGTGAAATGAAAAACTATTTCAAGGGGTGAGAATAAATGTAGTATTTTGTAATATGCTGAAGAAAGATGATTTTTAAAAACCGAAGACAAGTCATAGTTAATAAATATTACAATTTCATTTTGAGTCAGTGTTAATTCTTGGTGACTGTATGGACAAGTCCCTGCCATTTCCTTGGAATGGTGTTTCAGAAATGGTTTGCCTTTGAGTGATTCCTAGGGCTGAGTGAGAGGGACTGGTCCAAGGCCACTTAGCTGGCTTTATACCTAAGGCAAGACTAGAACTCACAGTTTCCTGGTTTCTATCCTGATGCCTTAATCACTACGCCAAAGTAGTTCAATAATAATGTTCAAATTTTTTTAAATTTGATAGTGTGAAACTTCTTTATTCGTCCTGTCTTACCAATGTATCACAGCATGATGTAAGTTTAAAGAAGTAAACAGCAGTAGTAAAGATAAATCAGGCCAGAGAACTGTTTACATATTATTACAAATATGAATTATTAATATTTTCTTGTATTCTTCAGAATTGTGGTCGGGAATGCTGGCATGCTCCTGTAGTGAGTATAACCCATCCTTTTCTATCTTTAGTATTTTATTGTAAACAAACAACTAAATCCACCATTAACTGTTCGAGGAAAGAATGAAAATCGCAGATCACACTGGGTGCTTGTTCACATTGCATTTCTCTTAGTGGGAAATGGTACAGATGTTTTTGTGAATTTTTCAATAAGCAACTTATAAATAGCACTTCAGGAAAATATAGCATTTAAAAAAAATGGCTGTTCATTCAGAAAAGAGGCACCAGAGTTGTCCAGTGCATAAGAATACTTACATCCAGAGAATTTCTGTATCTTGTGAGATATTTGGCATATTCCAGACTAAAATACAAAAGAAATAATTATTTCATGCTATTTTCTACTGCCATGGGAGAATGTTACTGAGCAGAAACTGGGTTTCTTTCTTCTCATAGTGTGAATGTCCTGTGAGAGAATTTTCTGTGCAGAAGAAGGTTCTGGTTTTGTGCGACTCTTAACAGTTGATGTTTATATGCCTTCACAACTAATATGAGGATCCCGAGAAAAATGCTGTGTTTCTGAGCATATGAGAATTGTGTAATGATAAGCTTGCCCAAGCTATGATGTGAAAGCTCCCAAAACTCATTGTTGGATACTTTGTACATTACTGGAGTGGAGATGATAGTTGATGGGATGTCTGCAGCCTTCATCTTCCTCTTTGTAAGTCCCAAGCACTCAAGAGTTATTTGGCAGTACAAGTTAAAATAAAATAATAAAATAAAATAAAATAAAATAATAAAATAAAATATAAAATAAAATAAAATATAAAATAAAATAAAATACGAATTGAGAATAGAAAACACCTGGGAGATGAATTTTTCTTATTCCCCATCCTTAATACCCCTTATTCCCCACTCCCCCAAAAACTGATATTTATGTAAGTGGCTGAACTTTGGTTCTGTAATTTTCAGGTAAAAGGATTAAGGTAAGGGCAGAAATAAGCGTGAGAAATGTCTGCAAAATGAATAGCTTCTATTCTTGTGAATAGAAGTTATTCAGTTTGATGATTTCAAGAACTGTCCCTCTGAGTATTTTCCTGAAAAAAATTAAGCTTAGAATTAAAAGCAACAAAAACCATGGATCCTGAAGATATTGGGGTCTCTGATATCTTATTAGCCCTATTCAGAAGTTCCCCTCACCTTCAAGTCCAGTATAAGGTGAGAGTACATACAGAGTTGCTCTAGCTTCCCCTCCCCCCCTCTCTCACTCTATTTGTGTTTGTGTACAATGCAGATGAAGGCAGGATGACAGCCTCGGTATAGCTAGCAGTCTCTGGATAAAGGCTGTCTCCCTGTCTATGCTATCTTACAAATAGAGATGCCAGGTGTTTCTTTAGGTTCCGTCCATCTCAGCCCCAAATAAAGATGCATACAATTGTAGTATAAGACTTTAGCATAATGGTCTATTCACAAAAAAGAATATGCATACAACCCCAATTGGGATTGGTAACTCCATTGCTAAGTGATGTGGTTGTGAGCAAGTCATCATATGAACGTGATGAACTTAAGATCTCATTGTGAAGTGCTTAAATCTCAATCACATGTCCGTGGAAACCCTGCAGCAGTTGTAAGTGCAAGAATCAGTTATAAATTTACTTTCTCAGTGCCATCATAACAGTGGTACCTTGGTTCTCAATTGCTTTGAAACTCATCAAATGTGGTACTCATTTGATGTGGAAATTTTGTCCTGATATTCATTGTTTGTTTGGTACTCAATCCACAAGCTAGAACTTGTTGATGTTGGCTGCCTTGTGACTCACTACATTATTCTTTATGGAAAAAAATTGTTTGGTACTCATCCTTTTTGGAACTCTTTGTGCCTCCTCGAACCAATTAATGATGCATACTGAGGTACCTCTATAGTTCGCTAAATAGGGCCATTGTTAAGTAAGATCTATCTTTATTTTGAACCAGATTTTTTGGGGAAAGAAAGTAAGCAATATCTTACGGAAATGATCGCATTAAAAATGATAATATTATTTCTCTGTTTTTGAAACTGATAAATCTGATGCAAGAAACTGTATTTCTTATTCTTATGGGTTTTTTTTAGCCTCCTCACCCAGAAGATCTATCAATTGTCTGCTTTACTAGTGGTACCACAGGTAAAATTTATCACTTTAAAGCTGATGAAATTTAATATAAGTATAGTTTATAATATAACTCTCTAAGACCCATTTAAAATGTTTGTAAATAGAAAAGTGTACATTTTAATTCTGATTATTTTTACATATTTTATAATATTTTGGTGGGAAAATGCAAAAGCGTAATGATACATACATACATAGATACATAAATGTAAAGTGCTTATCACCCTGACTGATGAAGTATATTTTGAAAAGTTAAAACATTTATACTGGTAAAGAACTCTGGTTAAATTCAAGGATGGAATGATTTGTTTGGCCGATTCAGCTCCAGTGGATATTAGAATTTAAATCTTGTATTCAAAGATTTGTGAACTCTGCCTATGGTAACTAAATCACCTTTTTACTAAATATTTCCCGTCTTGATCTTTTATTTGTGTATCTCATTTTTTTTTTACTTGGAGCTATATGTATAGCAATTGAAATTTCCAACCAGTTTGAAAGTAGCAGGATATCTAAATATCCCAGGACAGTCAAATACATGAGTATTGAAAATATTATTTCTTTCTCTGCAAAATTATATTTCCAGAAATATTTAAATTTTAGCTACTTGGATTTTGATAATGCTAGTTCTGATTACTGCAATTTTATTTATTTAATTTGACAAATGAAAAATCATGCTTATTCATGCCTTTTTCTCACACTATATTAGAATGTACTTAATTCAGATATTTTCATTATTTCTTTTCTAAATCTATCAGCTCTATTAATGAGGTATACATTTGGAAAATTATTCTTTTTATCTATTTTTCACTTAGAGTTTTGAAACTTGACCTCATTCATTCAAATTTATCTTAAGTTAAATGCACCAAGAAAATATTTTTAAGAAATAAAATTGGAACAAGCGAAAGCCAAATGTCTCATATATTCAGATTTTTTAAATGACTTTGTATTACCTCTCCTTTTGAAGAAATGTCCTTGGTTGGGAGCAATAATCCTGCCATCTCCATCCATCCTCAAATACTATATTTATCTAATGCATTTCTTAATACTTTCAAGCCTATAAATATTTGAAAGAAAACATTTTGGTTGCTGTCCATCAGATAGCACTAGGAGAATTGGCTGTAGTTGTAGGAGATGACCTGACAGTGTTGCAGAAAGACTGTACTAAGTTCCACATTCTATACAAAGCTCTATTACAAATCAACACTTGAATCCTGATAGTAGCTGATTGATTTCAAAGATAGCTCTGAAACAAACAAGGTGATTTAAAATATGTTATTCTTAAAATATGGTTATAGTGGAGTATGTATCCTCAGCTTGATTTTAAAAGCTTGTGGTAGCCTCATACTGAATGAGAGGAGAATTGATAAAAAGAAGAAAACAAGCATCAGAGAGATGGTGGATGGTCCTGTCTGGAGCTCCTTGTTTAGCATCCTCCACCAAATTGGGCATGTTTTTAAAAAGATTATCGCAATGGAAATGTTGCCCTTAAATGAGAGGCAGGGAGAGAGCTGTTATTCTTAATGTAGATGATAAGACTTCACATTTAGTGCAGTGAGGGGAAAGCCTATGGGAGATAAATTGTAACACCAGAACAATAATTGTTCATAGGAAATATTTTGTAGAGTCCTTGAAAATGCCTTTTGTGTATGGTGAATTGTTTGATTGATATGTCTTGCCTTTACTGATACTATATAAATGAAAACTTTGTAATCTGTAAACACTAAGCAGGCATTTAAAGGCTGGCAATGTACATCCTGTCAAAGATCATTTCATTAGCAAATAAGAAACAGATTTTGAAATAAATCTGTGGTGCTGACTTCTTTGTCCATGTTTCCTATCTGGTAAATGAGAATATTTATTTGATAGATGCTTTTTCCTCCATTTCCCAGGTAACCCAAAAGGTGCTATGCTGACTCATGGAAATGTGGTGGCTGATTTTTCAGGTTTTTTGAAAGTGACAGAGGTGAATACTCTATTTATTTTAAAACCTGACAGTAAAATGAGCTATATAATTTAGGAAATAGAAACACCTACAAGATAGGAAACTGTCTTAGGAGACTACTTGTGAGTCATGACTGTAATTTCCAATGCCATTGGTTTACGAACAGAGCAACAAACAGAAGGTGTTAATAAAGAACCCATGTAATTCAAAGCATGGAAGCATGAACAGGCATCCAGAAAGCAAGGTTGCAAGATTAATTTTATAACATGATATTAAAAAAAAACTTGGAAGATTTCCTATCCCTTTAATAGCTGATCTAAACAGATTTTACTTGGCTATGAATTTTGTATTGTATCTCATCCTCATAAAAGCATCACGGTATAGTCTGTTTAGAACTCAGAGATTGCCTTATGCTAATTGGGATCAACCAGATTAACTATATTTTATTAAACAAGCTGTAGTGGCCTTGTTGAGACATTCTGCTAACTTGCGGTATTATGGATGGATTCACACAGTACACTAAGCCAGAATCAAACACAGCTTATTACAAATATCCTAACCACTACTTAGCTCCAATTATCCAGGATTTTATAGGAACCCTTTTCAGCCCTATCTTGATGTGTGACTGATAAGCTGTTCAGTCTATTATATACAAATCATGATTTGTAGATTATAGCTGATCCTGTGAATCAAACAGTTATTATGGGCCACAGATTTCCTCCTACAGGAGGATAAGGAAAACTACCAGTCTTGCAGTCTCATGTTGTAATTATCCAAATACTAGCTGGGTTTTTTGTTTATTATTATTGTTTCATTTTATTTTATTATTTATTTTATTTTATTATTTATCATTATATGCTGCCCTCTAACTACTAGAGCGATTCTGGGTGGCTTATACCCAAAAAGGGATCTTATTATTTTAATAATAATGTTTCATTTAAATAAATAGATGGATGTTTCTATAAATAAATGAATATTCTGTCTTTCCATTACAAATAGAATGTCTGCTAGCTAAATGGTTTGACTTGATCTAAAATATGTTCCTAACTTATGTGGATGTCGATAGTAATTGGTCAATCTTGCTGAAAATGTTAAAAGGAGGCACTTCTTTGGGGAAAACTCCAAGCAGCAAAAGTATCCAAAGTGAACCGCGCAGCATTCTTGGGAGGAGGGCATTTTGAGTTGGCATCACAGATGTTTGAATAGAGGGCATGTTCATAGCTCCGGTTTCAGAACATACAAGTCTTGCTTAGGTGTCTGGAGAAGGTTGGGGGGGGGGCAGAGGGATAAAATATGCGTCATGATGCAAACTCCATTCCTTCCATAATTGCACAATTGCGTAATTGTCATGATGCAAATATGAAAGGGCAGAATTTGTGTCAGTGATAGACAATACGATGCACGCTTTGTCATTTTGGTGTTGTGATTAGGAACGGACACCTTTGGTGCCCTGTACAGTGGAGAGAGCTCTCTGCATTACACCCTTGTGTTACTCACCACTCCTGCTAACATAGCTCCATTGGTGTCGTGGCCTAACGCATTATTTCAAACACTGTTCTCTTTTCTCACGTAATAATCTCCACCCCCCCCTTTTGCTCTTCTTGGTGCCATTTTTCTTTTTATTGTTTTATGACTTTCTTGTTGTGTCTTCCTGTCAGTGTTTCTTTCCTTTCTGTCTCCCATGCCCTTCATCTGCAGAAAGTGATCTTTCCGAGACAGGACGATGTACTCATCTCGTTCCTACCTTTGGCTCACATGTTTGAAAGAGTGATACAGGTAAGAAACTTCCTAGACTGATGAGGCCTTGTCGGGCTCCCTGTTGTGTTTTTTTTTCCAGAGTCAGTGGTCTCCTACATATGAGGATGTACACATTTCCTATTTGCCTTTAGCACACATGTTTGAGCGAATGGTACAGGTAAGGCCTCAGTGTCAGTGGAAGCCAACATTTTTTCCTGCTGAAAATAAAAAGGGATTAAATAGACCAGTGGTTCTCAACCTTTTTAATACCGTGACCCCCAACCGGTCATAAGTCGAGGACTACTCAACCGGTCGTAAGTCAAGGACTACTCAACTGGTGCAGCACCGTTTGCAGAATGGGACTTTTGGCGGGCTCAGCAGGGCAGAGACAGCCTGGACAAGTCCTATTGGCTTTTGAAAGCCAATAGAATTAGACTCTATTCAAGAGAGTCTATTCTATTGGCTTTCAAAAGCCAATAGAATAAAAGGGAGTAGCACAGCTAAGGAAAAGGGGAAAATGGCGGACTGCGTTGTTTGGCGACCCCCGTGAAATGGTCGTTCGACCCCAAATGGGGTCCCGACCCACAGGTTGAGAACCACTGAAATAGACAATGCTACTAGGTCAGTGTTTTTCAAGCAAATTTAAGCTATGTGGATGTCAACAGCATGCTGGCTCAGGAATTCTGGGAGTTGAAATCTACATATTTTAAAGTTGCCAAGACTGAAAAACACTGCACTGAATCATGACATAAGAATGACTCACCTGTGCCTGGCTTCACCCATACCCTACCTATTCAACTCATTAAAACAAACCATCTCCACAGACTGTGGCTTAAAGCCCTTTCTAGTAATTATAGCGACAATTATCCTTAATTTAAGATGCAAAAACATGCTGAATTGGACTTAATTATATGACTGACTCAAAGTTGACTCAGCCTTCTATCCCTCTGAGGTCGGTAAAATGAAGACTCAGATTGTTTGGGCAATATGCTGACTCTGTAATGTAAAGCACTGTGAAGCGGTAGGTCTAAGTGCTAGTGCTCTTAATCTAAAACAAAAGCTGAACTTTGCGTTTTTTTTCGTTGAAGCTAAGAAGAATACTTAAAGAAGAACTAAGTTCTTTCTCCATAGTTTAACCATGGTTAAAAATTACATACAAGTCCTTCTAGTGACTGCTTTAAACCTAAAATTTCAGTTACTCCAGAAAGGTTGTTGTTTTAAAATATATTTTATTGCTTCATTTGGAAAAGCATACTTTTAATTCTCAGCTCTTATAAAGTGATTATTCAAACCTACAATTTAACAACTTATAATAAGCTACCTCTCTTCCAAAGACTATATTTCCTAAACATCATAGCTAGCTGTTTGCCCTACAACTAGTGCTGAATTTTTTAATGGAACCTCTTTACCAAGAGAATGTAAAATATAGAGTGGAGAGCCATCACCCATCACTGCTGGCTTTCTAAGTAAATCAATAGTGCAAGGAAGCAGATTTTGGATTCTTTAATAGAATCATCTACCCCCTAATGGTAGATCACAACAGACTTGTTCTGTCATGCACATGACATGACCAAGACTATTGGATAGGACCTTCTTATGAGAAGTTATTTAATAGTGAGGGTGAAGGTTCATTCTCCAACCATTACTCTCACTATTAAATGTGGGTTGTGGGTTGGTTTTTGAGCATTTTGTTACCAGGCTAGGTAACATCTTCAGCAGAGTTTAGGAGATCTCAGTATTCTTCTGTTTATAAAGGCTTCAGGTGTGGGTGTGTCAAGTGAGAGTCTGTGATGGGTCTTTTTGATGGGTCAGGTGTGAGTCATCTGTGAGTCTTGTACTGGGTCTTGGGATGGGGAGGTTATCTCAGGTCAGGGTCATTGGGAGGTGAACTGCTGGTGGGAGAGGCTTGTATGGGTTGGCTGAGGGTCGGTGTTGTCTCTGGTTGGCTGTGTGGTTGATTTGGATTCTGAGGGGTTCATAGACTGATTGTAGATCAATATGTTGGTGGAATTGCTTGTGGAGTGCCACTATTAAATATTATTTAACAGTGACTTTACGGTACCACCAATAAGAAAGATGCCTAAAGAGTTCTGTATGGGTTTTGTAATGCCGCACAATTGGAGCGGCATTATTGGCTAAAAACAGGAATTAATTTGTTTCCTTTGCCTTTCTCATTACAGTCTGTAGTGTATTGTCATGGGGGACGAATTGGTTTCTTCCAAGGGGATATTCGCTTGCTGTCCGATGACATGAAAGCTCTGCGTCCCACCATTTTTCCTGTTGTGCCAAGGCTGCTCAACAGGATGTATGATAAGGTACTTCTTTTGTATGTATTTACTTTTGTCATATTTATGTAGTGTATATTGGAGGTGGTGACCCTTTGAGAGCTGTATGCAACGAAATTTCGTTTTAATGTATGCCGATTAGTGTACATTCAAAGAGACAATAAAGTTATTATTCTATTCTTCTATTATCATTTCTTTTGGCAAATTAAAGGGAAAAAATTATCTCCTCTAATATGGTAGGACTGGATGCTTCTTTCTTTCCTTAAATTCTTTGGCTGCTGTACTTATAACTTTTATGTAAGCCAGCTTACTTATCCAGAATGTTGTACGAGAAATTTGCAGTGGAACAGTATGTTCCATTTAAATTTGTTTCAGAACTTGAGTACTTCTTAAGTTGGATGTTGTTTTTATGAACAAAAGGAATGCAAAATATTTATCTGATGTTTGAAAATTGATTTTGTTGGAATGGAAAAAAAATCTATCATCATCTAAGTGGCAGTATCATCAGAATAATTATAATTACAGTATGTGCATACTCTAGTTTAAAGGGTTGCTACATTTTTGTTTCAAAACAGCTCATGTGTCTTTTTAAAATACATAAGGAACAATCTAATGATTATAATATTGTAATAGACCTTAGTACTAGGTGCTCTTTTGTCAGGCTGCAAGTGAAATAAAGTTGGTTCTTCTGCTTCTGTGTAAAAAGAATCCTATTCAGTAAAATGTGTTTGATTTTCAGCTATTTCTTTAGCTTTTTAACCATTTCTAGCAAGTGTCAAACTTCTGTTCTTTCCCCACATTGCATTCTCAGGTTCTCTATCACTTCCATTCTCACACACCTGTTTACATATCTTAATGACAACAAATTTGATTGAACAATTTCATGTTAAAATTCTGACCACTCACATTTTGCAAATTGTCTTTGCTTGCAAAGAAAAAGGAAAAATCCCCAAAACGTTGTCATATCTTGTTCCCTCCATTCTTCATGATCAGTGTTGGTGTAATCAATCACTATGCATTGAACTGGAAGATAGAAAATAAGGGTAGATGATGTGATGTGTATTGGAAAATAACCAGTAAGACATTAACCACCACACAGTGCCATAGAATTAAAGACAATAGATAAAGTGCCAAAAAAACCGTGCAATGGCTCAATTTTGTGACCGTCACACTGTATCTTCAAATGAACATGTGTGTACATATGCAACGCTCTATCAAATTGTTTTCTTTTAATACTCCTATACAGAAGTCAAACTATGTCCAGCCTCGCTATTATGCTATGTGAGAATTGCAATTACTGTAGATTCCTTTTCATAATGAATTCCATACATAGAATAGAAAGGAGAATATGAGCATGGAGTCATGGGGGGTTGGTTGGTGCTATGACAGCCCTCCCTTTACCTTTGTTGACTAATTTTTAACATGGTTTACTTATTCTTGCCTCCATTAATTTTTTTAATTTTTTAATAATCAACACTTTAATTTTTATATACAGCTTTAAATTTTGATGTTTTATTGTATACCGTTCAGAGTCCCTGTTTGAGGAGATGGGAAATTCAGAAATGTGATAGACAGACAGATAGACAGGCAGGCAGGCAGGCAGGCAGGCAGACAGATAGATAGGCTCCCTCATGAATGTTGCACTTTTAAATGATATTTGAGGGTTGTAATCTGGATGTCTCTGTTTCTTCTTACCTGGAATTTACTGTTGCTCACAGGACTCCCAAAAGGTCAGGTTTGATTTCTGTTGTCACTATTGCCCAGGGTTTGATCCAGGAGCTTGAGGCCCAGAGGGTCAAGGTTTTCTCTTTTACAAAAAGTGTATTCTTCTCTCCCATAGACACTTCTCTAAATATGTTATCTGCAGTATAAAATACTAAGTATGTCTATGCAGCACAATTAGTAGCTCAGGAAGACTTTGGCTTCAAAATGTTGGTCTCAGGCTTCCATCTCTATGCTTGTGTCTCTGTGGAAACAGGCAGTCTTCTGGCTAGCAGCATAAGCTGACTGGGCTCTGGCCACCTGCATCCTTACCGAGGGATGGGGAATGATACTAACTAGAGTCTGTGGTGGTGGAGGCACCAGCAATGCTTGGGTGTGTTTATTAGTGATGCTGAACTGCTTTTCTTTTTTCTTCTTTTTAAAATATATTTTATTAATTTTTTACAATAACAGCCTTTTGTACTTAATGAACAATGTGTTGTATGGGTTCATATATTTAAAAACAATAATAATTAATTTCTATAATTGATCAATATGTTAGTTGATAATATATTTCCTTGATCCTTCTGGGATCAAGGAAATATATTATCAACTAACATATTGATCAATTATAGAAATTAATTATTATTGTTTTAAATATTAATTAATTTCTATAATTGATCAATATGTTAGTTGATAATATATTTACTTGATCCCAGAAGGATATCAGAAGGAGCTGATTAAGAAATCTTTTTTAGATTATTACCAAAAATTATATAAGAGTACTAAAGTACAGGTTTTAGATATAGATAATTATTTAAATGAAGCCAACTTCCCTAAATTAACAGAAGATCAGAAACAAGAAATTAATGGTTTGATTACTAGTGAGGAAATTGAGACAGTGATCAAAGAATTAAAATTAGGTAAAGCACCGGGTACGGATGGCTTGACATCTATTTATTATAAAACTTTGCTACAAGAGATGATTCAACCTTTAAGTGAGCTCTTTAATAATATATTACAGGGTTCAGAGATCCCCCCATCATGGGGCAGAGCCTTTATATCTTTAATTCCAAAAGAAGATCAAGACCTTACTTTACCAAAGAATTACAGACCTATATCTCTCCTAAATGTAGATTATAAGATTTTTGCAAAAATTTTAGCCAATAGGCTCATGAAGGTTTTGCACTACATTATACATACAGACCAAACAGGTTTTATAACTGGAAGGTATATGAAGAATAATGTTAGACAAATTATCAATTTATTAGAATATTTAGATAAAAATAATCAAGTTCCTGCAGGATTGATATTTTTAGATGCTGAAAAAGCGTTTGATCAATTGAATTGGCAATTTATGTTAAGATTAATTGAGAAAATGAATTTCGGAGAAAAAATTTTACAAACTCTTGGTGTTATTTATCAAAAACAAATGGCACAACTTATAGTCAATGGGGGTTTGTCAGAGGTGTTTACAATAGAAAAAGGGACTAGACAGGGATGTCCATTGTCACCATTGCTGTTTGTTCTAACTTTGGAAATATTGCTGATTAAAATTCGAGAATCACAGCAAATAAAAGGAATAGAAGTTAATAAAAAAGAATATAAATTAAGGGCCTTCGCAGATGACTTGGTGGTTACCTTATCCCAACCTATTTATTCTGTAGTAGAGTTACTACAATTGATACATCAATATGGACGGGTTTCGGGTTTTAAAATTAATAACAATAAGACTAAAATATTGCCCAAAAATATGACTAATCTGGACAAGCAGACTTTGGTTAATTTGACCGATTTTGAGGTTGTTGATAAGGTAAAATATCTGGGAGTTATTTTATCTGTTTCTAATGTAAAATTGTATAAAAACAATTATGAAAGGCTGTGGGTCAAGATACAAAGAGATTTGAAAAATTGGGAGAAGTTGCAATTATCTCTTTTGGGAAGAATTGCGGTGATTAAAATGAATGTTTTGCCAAAGTTTCTTTTTTTATTTCAAATGATACCTATCTTAAAGAATGAGGTTAATTTAGATGAATGGCAGAAAGGTATTAATAAATTCATTTGGGCAGGGAAAAAACCAAGAGTAAAACTTAAAATCATACAAGATATTTGCGAGAGAGGTGGACTCAAGGTACTGAATTTGAAATTGTATTATGAGGCTGTGGTTTTAACATTAATAAGTGATTGGCTTAATTTAACAAATGTAGAAATACTCCTCTTGGAGGGTTGGGATTTACTTTTTGGCTGGCATGCCTATTTAATTTTTAACAAAAAGGTTGATAGGGTTTTTAAATCTCATATTATAAGGATTTCTTTACTTCGGGTATGGAGGAAATATTACAGAAGTGATTCTAAAATTCCATTATGGGCCATACCACGGCATGCGATAGAAGGGATAAGGAGAGGAGTTAAGATGGATAGTGTTTCTTACGCACAATTACTTAGATGGGATGGTAAAAATTGGCAGTTAAAATCTTTGGAAGATTTAGCACAAGAAAATATTATATATTCATGGTTTCAGTATAGACAAATAGTGGATAGATGGAAGATAGATCGTAACGTGGGTTTGCTTAGAGAAGATGAAAACTTTTTCAAACAAGTAAAAGATCAAAGACGAACTCACATTAAGAGAATTTATGGGGTGTTAGTAGAATTGGATTCAGAAGTGGAATTAGTTAAAGAATGTATGTTTAAATGGGCACAAAACTTTGGTGAACCAGTTCTATTAGATACCTGGGAAACTATTTGGGTGAGGAATGTCAAATTTACACAAGCCCAGAATTTAAGGGAGAACTTTTATAAAATGTTTTACAGATGGCACCTTGATCCACAAAAAATGTCTCGTATGTATCCTGACTTGCAGCCTAAATGTTGGAGATGTGGATGTTTGGATGCTACTTACTATCATATCTGGTGGTCGTGTAAAAATATAAAAGCCTTTTGGATTAAGATATGGTGGAATATTCAAATAATTTTTAGAAGGAGGGTAAAATTTACCCCACAATTGTTTTTGTTAGGTATTGTTACTGATTGTGATACTAAAGAGATTACATTGATGTTAAATTTAATTACAGCCGCAAGGTTGTTAGTAGGGCAATGTTGGAAGAAGGAATCTTTGCCTACTTTGCAAGAGTGGTTTCTTAAAGTTTCTTATTTGGCGGAAATGGCAAAGATTTCGGCTTTCTTGAAGGATCAATCGCAAGAGAAGTATGTTGCGGTATGGAAAAAATGGATAGATTTTATACAACATAAGTTGGATATAAAAAATATTATTTAGTTTTTTTAATAACTTATATTTAAAATTTAATATTTTTTATCTTCTTTTTTCC